GATAAAAACTGTACTCTGGGATAAAAAGAAAACTCACTACTATTATTGGTAAATACTATTTCCTCTGGCTCATCAAATAATAAATGATGCTCTTGCTGAAGATGCTGCACCAAATGTTCATTTTTCTGGTACGAGTTATTGCAGTTTGATTCTAAACATTTATAGTTCCAAACTGACTTGTCATATGAAACTGTACTTCCATCTGAACCATGAACTACTCGGCAGTGCCGGTTTAAATTAGATTGCTTGAAAAATACTGATTCAAACAAAACACGTAACCCCCATTTTATTTCCGTAAAGTGAAATAAAATGAATAATTTGTGAAAAAATCTGCGGAAGACTGCACACTACGCAAACACCCATCGATTTGACGATTTACCGCGAACTGCCAAACCTGACTTAAGGCTAAGCTAGTTGTCTTCATCTATGAGGCTAAGTAACAGACAGGTAACAAGCTCTCTAGACCCCTGGGTCCTTAAAGGTACGRCAGAGTGGTGGATAAAGGTGGAAGGGTTCAACCAAAGAATTGATTGAAATGGTTRATTGGGTGGTGGAATGGAAGAGATGGTGGTGGTGTTTYGTACATTTTTTTCATTCATATATTTAGTTAGTTATAACGAAMTAAAAACTACGACTATTTTCAGGTGTGGGCTTCCTCGAAATGAGAACCTTCGAAATCTTTGGGTCAGGCSMATTGGTTGTGAGYACGTATTGGCAAAATCGGCAGTTTATAGTCCAAATGCAATATTTATTTGTACTAGCCATTTKGCTGRTGTGTGCTTCAATGGCAACGGTATTTTACTGCGGAATTGTCTTCCAACARAGGGCCTACCASGTATGTTTAAAAATTACTACCGTATAAATTGTTCACCCTACATACCACATATATTTCGAAGGTTTTAAAGATGAAGGTTCTCTGGAAGAAAATTTCTTCCGAGGAAGCTACAGATTGGCGAACGTGGCGACCCCAGAAAAAAATATTCCRGCTCAATCAGACACGACCTTCACCAAAACGAGTCCGATTGAGTCGGTTATTAAGCCTACAAAGGTATATCCTGGGAAAAGACGTTTGGTTCAACCAACTGAAAACATATGTAAGTAAATATACTTAATAAAATACGATAAATAAGGTCGTGAGATGTAAATTGAACAACAAATTTTTAGGCTCCGAATACGCTTTTCCCAGGGAGAGCAGCTCACTGGAAGTTAAGGATTTTTTTATTGAAAATAAATTGAAAGGTGCGTTTGTATTGATATGAAGTTAATTTAATTAATAATTTATATTATATGTACATAGAGAGCAAAGGGGTTCGTGACGGCGTGTCAACCTGTAGGACCTCGAAAGTTGCACGAAGTGCTACAGTTCAGTGTAAGTACATATTATACATATGCTAGCTTTATATACCAATAATAAGGAAAAACCCTTAGGATGGTGTAAAAAGCTAACATTAATAATCTACAATTATTAGGTGTACTAACGTTTGTTTTTTCTTTCTAGGTAGAAGGCTGAATTTAAAATCTTTAGGTGTTACACAGCAGAAGACATTGTCGAAACAGAGTCAAATTTTGTATGAGGGCGTAAAAAAATTAAAGAAGGCCTTACATCGCCAGATGAGGAATAATGAGGTACTGAAATTAAATAAATCTAGATCCGCCCTTCTACGCAATTTGACGAATGTCAATGAATTTACAAGAAATTTTATTTTGTCTCAAAATAGAAATCAAAAGTTGAAACCCCGCGGTAGAAGGTTTTCACTTGACGATAAAATTTTTGCTTTGTCAATATACAAGCAAAGCGGAAAGGGTTACCGATTCTTGTCTAAAATTTTTAGTTTACCTTCTCGTAAAACGCTTGTAAAGGTTCTACAACATATACCTTTTCATACTGGAATTAATAACCATGTATTCCAGCATTTAAAGGTACGAGTGAGTAAACTACCATTGTTAGACAGGCATTGTGTGCTCATGTTTGACGAAATCGCGTTGCAACTTGGTCTTCAATATAATTAAAAACTGTGTAGATGGATTTGTAGATCTAGGTGGAGCGGATGGAAGACCGAAATTTGCAGATCATGCATTAGTTTTTCTTTTAAAGGGCATTTGCAAAAAGTGGAAGCAACCAATTGGTTTCACTTTTTGCAGATTTATTGAATTTAATTAAATCTGTAGTTCGCAAGGTTCGTGAAACAGGTTTGTCAATAGTGGCAACTGTTTCCGACCAAGGAGCGACTAATGCAGCTGCAATTAGGTTGCTTGTTAAACTCAATGTCATTTTCCAACTCCACTTGTTTTTACGTTGCGTGGCTTCTTATACATCTGGAATGATCTAAGAGGCAAAAACTTTAAGTATATTGCCCCTAGACCATTCAACCAAGATCTTGTGGAAAATTTTTTCACTTGTATAAGAAGCCATGGTGCGAGAAGCGCCCGTCCTAATTGTTCCGCATTTATGTCTTCCGCCAAATCCCTCCTTATAAATGGTTTTGTGTCATCACATTGTCTTGGGACAAATTGTGAGCCGGACGAATCAACAGGAGTTCTAGCGAATTTGAAATCTTTTATTGAGACCCGCAACGCGCCACTTTCTGCTGAACATTTGCGAGTTCCGGTGGCAACTTACTCAACACCGRAAGGCCTCGTTTGCAAMAAYCCCCTCGATTTYGCCAYTCCGTATGTTGCTGGGGTTGTTGCAAGAAAAATTTTATCCCAAGTGGAATGCAACAACTGTCGCAAAATAATAGAGTCGTTGAGATGAGCCTCATAATATACTCATAAAACATCGCGAATATATTATGAGGGAAAGACATCTGATCTATCTGTCCACTAAATTTTTTACAGCCTGTATACATATAGCTAATGTTATTTTCTTCCTGCTTCCTAAATTCATAACATCTTATGGAATCAGGAAGAAAATTATTGATCATTTGTGCACAGAAGAGGATATTGGGTATGTATTCTGTGCTGAACATCAAGCGAATACATACCTAATGTACAAAGTGTGCACACATGTCATTCTATTTGGCTATATGTCTAAGGTTAATAGAATTTTAAGTGGACGAGACTTTCATCATAAAGACGACGACCAACTAACTCGATTAGCGTTTCGCAAGTTTTCTACGAAAAGAGGTTATTAGTGGACCTAGGCCCTAACCTAGGCTAAGTGGCCAATATTTGATCAATAATGGTTATTAACTCAAAAACTTTACACATTATATGATGATATTTTGTTAAAATGTTATTATGTTCTCTTAAGAAACATGCCCGTTTATTACTGGAAAACTAATTGTTTCAATAAACCTACGTGAAATAACAGCTTTATAATTAACGATCTTTCAGTTTGAATTTGATCTTTAAGAAATGAAAAGATTTTATTACCAAAATCATATTTTTCTATTAAGATACATAAAGGTAAACTAATCCGTCTGTTTAATCTGAGATTTATACCACATTAAAAATATTAAGATTTTAATTTAAACTGTTTCTGCAAGTGGCGCACGCTTGCCCATTACCTAATGACGTTCAATATAGTTAAATACGAAAAACGCAACAACAAATCACTGGTTATAATCACAGTTTATATAATGTTAATGACGTATCTAGTTCTAGTCAAGACCACAGAACATCTCACTGGGGGATGGGGAATGTTTTGTGCTGGCCCAAGTTAGATCGTATAAACTGTAACTATCCTTTTTTAGTGTAAAATGGGCTTACATGTTTTTGTTAATTACCTCTTTTTGTAGAAAATAATCGAGTCTAGATACTTTATTTTGTGACTTCAGTTGTCT